CAGACTACAAATATAATTTAAGGAATTAATTTACAGAAGCATTTGCTAGCAGTGCAAGAGGGAATGATATGACAGATCTGGATGCTAATTTTCTTAATTAGAAAACGAATATTCGTATGGTATTTTCACAAGCTGACATTCAAATGCAACCCTTACTCTCATTAGAATATACATTCTTTTTGTCTAAAAATTTTACATGGTTTCCATATAATTTACTTGTTGGGCATAATATTTTTGTGGTCTTCATCAACTGTACATTCCAATACTTGTCAATATCAGTTTTTCTGAAATTTAACTTATAAAACAATGGTATGAGATTACGTAAAAAGGTGCCCTATGAATAATTTGGTTCTCATCTACAGTATTTATCACTAATTAAACTTTAATCAGATGAAGTGAAGTACTTTCTTCAGTTCCAATGAAAAGGTTAGATAGTAGAATTTAGCATGCCTGAATCATACTTATAAAATGAAAAGAAAGTCTAGTATTTCCCTAAATTAATTTGCTTCTAACATGTCATTGGTTTTTAATGACACCTTGTAAAATGTGTCTACTCTCCTGATAAGTAGATCCTGGTTTCTGATTGTGGTTCTGTCTTCTTTTTGATTGCTGAGACGTGACCACTACTGACAGGCTTTGTTCTGGTTTTGTTCTTACTTGGGCTGGTCTCATTCGATTATCCCCCTTTATATTGTGTATTGTATGCCATCAGCGAGACACACTCCTGCATTCTGGAAGAGCTCAGATAATTTATTTTCTTTTGTGAACAGGTTTTTAATTTCTGAATTTGTAAATGTTTCAAAACACTATCATTCTGCTTTTCTTCCTCTAGAAGTCATACAAAATTGGATGTATATTACATGAAAGACCAAACAGCTGCCTTCAGCACTATTGCACCACCATCCCCACCGATTCTGACACTATGAATCCTGGTAGTAGAAAGCTTCATACTGTATGAATGATGCCATGAAATTCCAAGATGGGAATGATACCAAGGAAGGGAACTCAGATGTTCTTCACAAAGTGCAAGCATCCTTTTTATCAACAGTAATCCTTTTCTACTGATGTTAAAGGCCATGATTGGAGACATCATTTTACACAAGTAACAAAGTGTGAACAAGGAATGTACTTGACTAAAATAGAGGACAGGGGGAAACCTGTTTCCAAATCAAATTTCATATTCTTTTAAAACATGCTTCATTTGTTATTCATTCCTCTTTCTTCATCAGGATTTTTGTCTTTTGTAATATGTTCTTGTCTTGTGTAGTGTCAAATTATAGAATAGCAGTTTGAAAATGCTGAGGAATGTTTGTTAGTGTTGCTTACATAATTTAAGAATTAGTCTACATCCTCAACCACAAAGCATTTTGCCACTTCTGCAACATCACTTAAATGCTTCGTTGCAAACACTAAGCAAATTTTTTAGCTGGGTTTGCCACTCAGCCATACCTTTTGTGTCTACCTTTTCAGAGTGACCGCGATATTATTGACTCATGGGTTTTTTCTCCCATCTCACTTATTGAGCTACAGTACGGTATGTGGCTTTTCAACGTTACTGTTGGCCCTCACAGTGGTAACTGGTTTCATCCTTGTCCGAATGCTCATTTTGAAGGGATGGAATGACCTACTGTATGTAGGTAGTATCTGGGTTGTACAATATAGATTCCACATCATAATGACCAACTTTGCTAAAAGAAATATTCAGTGTCAGTTGTTACACCATTCTCCCGTGCCTTTCTTCTAGTTGTTTTAAAGGTTTCTTTGTCATCATGGTTTAATTTTTGCTTGAAATTTAGTACCTGACTGAGAGACCGTGAGACAGGTGTATTTATTCTGAAATCAATTTTTTTTTGTTATTGCACACAGACAGAGGCAATTCAACAAATTGTGAGAAGTTTTATTGTTGCGAGTTGGCCGTGATTCACCACACTGCCCAGATGGATTATTGTGTACCTTTCCATTTAGCTGAGCATCTTGTTCTGTTATTCAAGATTTCCCCAGTACATTACAACCTGTCATGATTCAGAAGTCCATTGATCATGTGCTTCTTATTGAACAGCCATTGTTAACCCTTATGTCAGATTGGATAGTGAAAGCAGGGGAGGTGTTTACTTATGTGTCGTTGTATAATTAAGAAAAACAAAAAATCACAATAATTATGCAAAGACAACATTGTGTGAGACAGAATGTGCCGCTTTCTTATACACAACAGTCCAGAACCAACTAGTGTGCAGTGCTTGAACAAAAAGGGGAATTTAGCTTTCTGTTACGGAATCTGTTTTTATTTTTATATTGGCTTTCTTGATTGTGTCCCTCCTGGATAAGCAGAGATGGCCCATAATGAGTCTGGGTACACCATTATACACATCAGGTAACATTTTGTTAAGCAGCAGCTGGCTTCCCATTTCCAACCATTTATATCATTAAAATGGAAACTGGCCCACAGCACGTTGCAATCTACAAATGTTTAATTCAGCACAAGGTCTGTTTTTTTTTTTCAATACCTGAGGGTAATCTGCTTGTTGTTGATATATGCAACATTATTATTCAAGAAGATGACCTGAGGGTTATTCTTGCTGGAAGGGGATTGGCAATGGTTGCCGTGTTTATTTAGGAATAATGCTATCCAGACAAATTGACTCATTTACTTTCTTTCTATAGAATGAAGGCAAAAAAGAGGTCCTTCTGAAAAAGCTGATTTTGCTCTTGTTTTTATTTGCATGGTATGACATTATATTTCATGGCTATTAATACCTACTACTGTTTGGGTACTGGGTTGTATATAAATATATTAATTATTATGTATTATTTTTTATAATTGCTTCATGCCTTGAAGAAGGAAAATTCACCTTTATTATATTTACAATTTTCCTGAAACACACTTACAGTTGAACTTAAAACACAGATGTAAAATAATATCACACTTACATGCTGCACAGATGAAAAGGTGTTCTTAGGAGCATCTGCAGTTTCTTTCTTTCTCCACACTCTAACCTTTCCATCACTGTGAAAGATTAATCCTGGTCTCATTCGTCTATAAAACCTACAAAAATGTGTACTTCTTTGTTTTGTTGGAAATTCTGAAGCATGGCAGAGGTAATGTCAAGGCCTGGGCATGCTCAGCCACCTCTTGAACTGGGTCAATCCTCATTATTGATAGTGTATGGTACCTTCTAATGGCAGCAGCAGAATATATTCTGAAATGTACATTAATATTTAATGCGCTCATGTTAAAAGAAGAGAATGTTTTCATACAGCATGACATTGCAACCAAGGAACCAAAGAATTCAGCAGGGGTATAACGTCCAAGCCAATCTCTAGATTTAAATCCAATTGAGCATTTTACTTCCCCCCAAAAAAAAGTCATAACATCCCAGGAGCAGGAAAGAACTCAAAGTGGATGCAGCATAGCATCAGAAATGATTTCATGAAGAGTTCAACAGTTCATAGTTATGGCCTCAAAGGGATACGCAGCCAAATGACTTTTTGCGCTCTGAAATCTCACTTAAGTGTATGGTTTCCAATACTTATTTGTGCTTGAAATACAGTATACTGTAGTACATACTATTTTATAGTCGATTTTTATGCACTGTAAACCAAAAATACTAGTTTTGACTTTGCTGCCTCACTAATTTTTTAGCTCAGTGAAGCTGAGCTCCCTGAAGAATTGAGGTTATCCACAAGAGTGTGGTTCATAAAGATTGAGTTTGAACTGTGGTAATGTGAGATTTCATTGAGTCACTAAAATAATAGTTATCAACCGAAATATTACTATATGTTGTCTGGAATGGTTTGGGAACTATCTTTATAATGAATCATATCACCACGTGTCGTGGTATGTTTATGTTTGGAACACCTGTGTTGATAGTAATTATGTCTGTAAGGTATTAAAATACAAAGCAATTATTTTTCCAAATGTAAGCAGTCCCAAAATTGTCTAGTGAACCTGTAACATTGTTAGGCTAATTATCCAAACATGCTGTAGGCAATATATTTGCTTTAAACACTGGAATTCAGCTAAGGTGTTAAGTTTACAACTGAACCTGACCAATAGATGCCCTTGGTAAGGGAATTTTACAATCTGGCGGATATAATAGCCTTAAGCATGTATGGAATGCAGCTCACATGACAAGTCTGCCAAGAATCAAATGGCCAAAAGGCACACTGTCTAGAGAGATCCCATGAAAAGGTTGTGCATCAAAATCAATCATGATACATTTCTTTCAGTCCATCTCCTAGTTGGCACTGTTAATATTGCTGTTCGCCTGCAGGAAATGGACAAATCTGGGGTCACAATGCATGGTCTAGCTGCTGTATACGGTATAATTCATAACACAAAACACAGTAACGCCTTGTATTAAGGTAAATGTTTTATAATAGAAAATATTAAAACTGTTAATTTGTCGGTTTCCTGTCATGGCCAGGGGTTGTAATCAGGATATTAACTGTAACATGTAACTCTTTTAACAGTTAACTAGTGCACTTAATTGAATTAAGTTATAATTGTTAACAAAAAGTATTTGTTATTTCATTTGATGTTTCAGCAACAATAATTAGATGGTTTACAAATACCCCTTGGCTGTATCTCTGTTGTTAACACAGACATTGTAACATAGACATTGACAATAGTACTGTATGTTATAAAAATTTAAACCAGTGTTTTTAATACATTTTTGGATTGAATTACTTTCCCAGCACACAGCTCTTGCATTGTTCACCAGCATTTATACCAATCACATACATTTTACTAATAAACAAGTTGGGATGATTTTTGTAGTTCCACAAAATTAGATTCGGCTTCTTTTTTTAACACTGTTGCTCTTACTCTATTCTTGAAGAATCCCAAACTAAGAATGAACATCTTATGCCCTTATCTATAAACGGAATTACTGTTTCTGTAAATCTGGAGAAAAAAAAAAACACTTCCTCATGTTCATTATATAACATTCTGCCTGTTGCAGCTGGAATGTGACTTTCGGAAAATGCTTATTCTGTTTTGCAAAGGACTGGCTTGGATGTAGTGTATCTCTGCTACATTTGATAAAAGTGTAAGGGGTGCTTTCTATACGTACACTGTTATTCACATGATTGAAATGAAATGCTGTGCTTTTTGTTAAAAATCACATGGTATCTGTTAAGAGGGGATGACAATTAAAATAAGGAGAAAACATTGTGGAGGCTCAGTTGCATTTATATGAGTTAATGTGATAAATTTGTTTTTCTACTGCTTTTCTAGCAGTGTCTACACACTTTTCTTTAACCGAAATTCACCCTTCTCTGAAGAGGCAGGGAGAAGCTAGTGTGGAAGGTGTACTCAATCAACTTGTTCTGGAACACCTGCAGCTGGCTCCTCTTCAGTGGGGTGAGTACATGAGGGCTTTTTTCCCCTAAGTATGCTTTGCTATGATGGTAGACATCATGTTTGGGTTTGAAACTAAAAGATCTTGGGGGCTGCTTCTATTGAAATGGGACTTGGGTCCTTTTCTGGTGTTATCTGTTTCAAGAGAATGATTGTGAAGAAACAGATGAGCTGTCCAGGTCATTCCACCTTTCGTCCTTGGGCTTAGTGAGATCTTATGCTGTTACTAAACAAACTAGACTCAATGATCTTGAACAGTTGATGCTACCAGGGTTCTGTAGATTTGTTTTTGCCTGTAGATGGGGAGTTGTGTATGCATTGAAGACTACATTGTGGAAAGCAGTACAGTAATTTAAGGATTCATTGGATTTGCCATCTGCAACTATTCTCTGAAATGTTTGTTGTTTCAGTTAAATTGTTTTTTTGCAGGTTATGCTTCATTTGCGGACACAATTTTGATTATATAGGCTTGTCACTTTTGGTTTGCAGACAAAACCATCTGCATGAATGCATGTCATCTTCCATTTTTAGCATCTTTTGTCATGTAAACAAGAAGTTATGACTTGTTTTTCAATTAATAAAGGCCCACCTGGCTGAAGATAGTACATAGAAGTGTAATTGTCATATACTTCCTATTCCAGTAACACTGAATCCTTGTTTTCTAATCTTGAGTTATTTTGATGGAGTAAATGCTTAAATTATGAGAGACAATTACTTTTTGATTTGTGAAATTCCAAAATGAAACATGCACATCTCATTCAACTTAATATTTTATTCAAAACCTGATTCCTCAAACTGAAACTTACTAAGAGTAAATGCCAGCCAAAAATAGAGTCAAAACTGGAATACATTGTTTGCATAAATATTTAGACCATGATCTCAATTTTTGGTGGAAGCACCTTAGACAGAAATTATAGCTACAAGTATTGTATTTGTGGGCAAGTATTATCTCTACACGATAATCTATCTTTTTTCACCAGCCTGGTGCAATTGGTTTTTGGTTGTTCACAGATTCACACAATCTGTGTGATGTTGCTTAGAGATCGCTTATGATCTGCACTTAGTTTTTTTCAGATTCTCAGTAGGACTTTGACTGTATGGCAGGTTAGAATATTATTTAGAGATATCTAAATCATTTGATGATATCTCCAAAAATTACTGATACAATAAAATATTTAAAGATATCTTATAATGATTCAACAATATATCTAAAACCATTAAAGATATCTAGAAATGAGTTATAGATATCTTCAAATAATGTGGTATAAATGATATCTTTAAATAACTTAAAGATATCTTTACATGATCCACTCAAGGATATTTGCTACTGTATTTGATTGATAAGCTATTTCAGTGCTTTGGGTCATTGTCCTGATAAAAGTGTTTTTTTTGTCCCGGTTTTAGATTTGAAGCATGTTTTCCTCTTAGAATGGCCAGTATTTTGCTCCTTCTATAGTTTGTTCCCATCATTCTTAACAAGCTTCCTAGTCCTTGCTGACGAGAAGCAGAATTATAACATAATGCTGCTGTTGCCACATAAAGAAAACAATGGGGATGATGTAGCTTTTTGAAAACCCAATTCAGGATTTGAGGTTTTTTTCTCTGGCTTTGTGGAGTGTCTGGGATATTGTTGACCCCATGGACAATTTTTCTAATCTCAGCCACAGAATTCTGTGGCTACATATGGAGGGATAGCCAGATCGATGGAGCATGAATAACTTCACTATATTTGAAGGAATATTAAGAGTTTTTTTATATCTTTCACCTTATACAGTATGTGTGTTTTTACAACATTTTAGCTTTGAAAGCTCCTTGGTCTTCATGGTTGACATTCTTTGCTTGACATTCTACATCTAATTTAATTAACCTTTGCCTTTACAAAGGGTTTGAATACTTATGCAGTCATGACATTTTACTTTTTTTTCTGTAAATATATATATAATATTTTTAGCTCTGAATGTCTTTAACATTTTCTGTTTATAATAAATAGTAATTGCATATCAATTATGTATATTTAATATATATGACTGCAGGCTTTAAAAGCAACAAACACTAAGCAATGGCTTGAATACTTTTTGCAAGGCACTGTATCTTACGTTGAGGGATCAGATTGAAATTAGATACATTCATTTTACGTCATGATCTTGCTGTCATCAATCAAATGGAAAGGAAATCCTGCTTATTACTTCTGTAGCCCTGTGCTGATATTTTCTGCTTGGGTCTAAAACAGAAACAGTGACATTTAGTATTATTTGTAGGGGCTATAGTATGTTAAAGAATAACAGGTGGTAACTTTTTTTATGATTACTGTGCAATTAATTTTAATTCATCCAATAAGAATCCCTTCGTCAATGTTGCCAAGACTATCATAGCTTTAATTATCTGACTACACTTGGAGAGCTTTCCCTACGGATAGGAAAATCATTAACGTGAATCGGCTGCTTTAATACTAAACCACCGCTAGCCACAGATCAGTGGTGATTAAGTGCAGGATCCATCTAAATTAACCGGCTGCGTGCCAACTTTGATCTGCAGAAATCAACCTATTGAATAGCCTTTTCTTTTTTTTTCTTTTTAATAATATGTTTGCTTCCATTTGTTTTTTTTAAAAATGTACAGTAAGTCATTAAGTTTCTTTCAATTTTCCCAAACTTCCTGGAAGATTTCTCAGGAAGTGAAAAGGAATGTGAATCTATAGGCGAATAGAAAGATGAAATGCATATAGTATAGATGTTTATACATGCAGTATATGTTAATAGATTAAATATATTATAATTCTTCAATATGTGCAAAGAGACATGTGTTTGCTATTTATTGAAATATTCTTTACCACACAGGTGGAATGGGAGTCTTGTTAATGGGTGTCTCTTGGGATTCCAATAGCTGAGTAGAAATGGAACTGACTCTTTATCTGCCCACAGGTTCTGTTTTAATGTAATGGAAATCTGATTTGGGCTTTAGGTTATTAGGTTACTCCTTTTCTAATATGATTTTTTTACTGTGTTAGTTTATAGGTCGTTATTAAGTAGTCTAGGAAAAAAAATGCTATAAAGCTAATAAAAAAGCATGCACTTCAGCTTTGGTTAGAAGTGACATTAGCGGTACTCAATGTGGGTTTGAAATACCACACTCCACATATGGCTGTGCCCTTTAAAATAATGGAAATGTCTACGGCAATAACTTTAACCAGAAATAGAGCGAAGATTGATTGCTAGTTTGGGAAATCCTTTTTATTTACATTTATTTTTTTTATATCAATGAAGCCAGAATGACATTTTTCATTTTTGCTGAATGAAGTCTGGGAGGTGAAGGTCCTGTCTGACTGAGTGCCTGCTTTCCCGAGTGAATAGTGTAAAGCAAAATAGCGGTCTGGTTTAGTTCTAATAGTTCTCTAAGTCTGTGTTAAAATGTCAATGCAACTTTGTGCAAGTTACCAGCACAAAGTTCTTTCACGAAAAAATGATTAAATAAAAAGTTTCCCTTCAAATTCAATCTTTTCGTTTTGTGATTTGTTAAAAGTCAAATGTGTAGAATATCAGTACAGTTTTTGAACAACACTGTTTAAAACCCAGACAGTGTAAATATAGCAAGAATACCCAAGTGAAGTTTTATCTCAATTATTAATGTGAAATGAAAAAACATCTCTGTTAAAGGACCTTTTTTCAAGATACGAAGGCAACAGCGATCTCTGTCATATCTTTATGATACTTCTGTCGAGCTGTACAGTACAAGTACAGTGAGGTGGAGTGGCCTGAATGCCAAAAAGATCAATTTTTATTGCCCCTCCACAACCCCCACAACTTTGGAGGACATATTTATACATCTTTTCATTTCCTAAATACATCTCTAACCTTTATACTTCCTATCATCATACTTGGAAACAGGAAATATTAAATAGTGTATTCAGCTATGATGCGCTTCCAGCTGATAGACAAATACTTTATCTAATGTTTTTTTTTTTCCTTTTGGTCTTCTTAATGTGTTTTAGAGTATGTCCTTACTACTGTTATCCTCTTCATTTGCATTATCTTTGAAATGCAAATTATATCGCAGGGCAAGACTGGCAGGCTGCTCACCTCAGCCTCTTAAGGTGCACGAGACCCGTGTCAGGTCCTGAGAACTATTGATTCTACAGGTTTGGTTTTGTGTTGCTTGTTCACTGTTCCCTCTTCATTAAGCGTGTCTTGGGGTTAATGAGGGAGTGTTTGTCTTGCTGGCCATCTGCCACTGTGCACCTCGTGACAACAGTCAGTTTGCCAGCAACCTGTAGCCTGTCAGTTCTGAAGTTACCTGCAATAAAAAGAATAATAATTGTAGTTCATCTTGGTTGTAGGAAGAGAAATAGTGGTAGAAAATAGTACTAGTTAATAGTAAATGCATTAGAAAATGGGGCACTTAAGGTGATATGCATCCTGATTTCAGCTGATAGTTGCGTGGTTATCCATTCGTGACATCCTATTTCCATTGTAACATTTGGAAAGCAGCAGATTATATGGCATTCAAAGTCATGCCACACGGTGTACATATTTTATGTATTATATAACTAAGCAACCATTCTATACTTGCGGGGAGAAAAAGCATATTACAGTATATTTTTTCTGTGCAGTACTGCACTGTTCATGGATAATTGCCATGTTATACAGTACCTTTTCCATGAGTCCCAGAAATCTTACTACTATGGCTGCTGCTAGTTATCCCACTAAATGTATTGTATTACATGTACTGGTGTATTATTTACTTAAGATTGCAGGATAGGTGTCTCCTAAATGTTTTGACTTCAGGGTAGTCATTCTATCACATGTCAGTTCATGTCTTAAGTCATCTATATTCTAATATCTTACCTTAAACAAGCTGTGTTTGCAATGAATTCTCATGTAGTGTCAAATACAAAACAAGGTCTATATGCATATCTGCTTATTAGTGATTTCAGTAATTATTAGACTGGCTTTCCTATGATATACAGTAAAAGCTCTATCTATCCAAATATAATGAAATTCCCTTTA